GCTTAGAATCCCTGTGGGTGTATTATCCAATGTCAGCCGATTTTGCTTCTCTAAGTCGATAACGAGAGTTAATTAGCTGCCTGACGTCTAAATCACAGTCCAGGTAAGAGATTTCTTAGGCGTGTACGCCATCGTCGGTTCCATTGCTTGCATCGTATTGTTGTTGAGTTCTCTTGTTAAACCAGTGCCGAATGATTTCTTTCACGTCTTTCATTTCCCATCCTGAGCCAGTTCGTTTTTCTTTGAACTTGGCCTTCATTGTTGCAGATTGAGTACTTTGGAGGTGCCTTTAGACGATTCTTTGTTAAGTTCCTCTCTATGAAGTGTCTTCTTCCTTAGCTTCTGTTGTCTGCGTTTCCAGTTATGAACCCAAACGGAAACGCAGAGCGTTCTTAACTGGACAGCGATTTCGGCTCAATATCAAACTCGAAAATCAACTCGGAAAGTTTGCGCTTTGATCTCGAAGGTGAAACTTCAGCTAAAATTGAAGAGAAAGAAAGCGGGTTCATCAGCCTAATTTAAAAATAGTTTTTTAGCATATACTTAAATGGGATATATGATCACCAATCAGTTAGCAGCGAAAAAGTAAAAGCAGAATTTTTTCCTATATGTTCCTTTAGAACGCTTGTATACCATATGCTGATCGACTTTGAGAAAATTTAAGCCTTTAATTATTTGTTTCACCCACTGCTGAATGTTGTTTGCATTTATTACCAATTGCTCCTAGTGCCCCTCCTTTTATATAAATCCTGGCGTTCTTTCATGCTAGGCACTGTCTAGATACTTTTGTTAGTGTGAAATGGTAAAATCGCACATGTTTCTGAGATCATGTATTCTTAGTTGATGATAAACTTCAAGCTGACGAAGATTGGTTCACCCTCTCTTCATAGTTTGCAACATTATTAGGTGACAGGACTTAAACAATTTCCAAAGCACTCTCTTAGCAGTTGAGGAAGGACATAAACAGCAACTCCGCCTCTTAATGTTCGTAACATGGTGATTATTAACTTTGAAGCAGAATATGAAACAAAACATGCTATTTCAGTTCAAACTGTATGAGGTGCAATGATTTTGCGCAATTATGAAGTTGTGCAACATTAGCGCTTGAACTTTGCTCTATTACTGTCTGTGCGTGGTGACGAGCAAATTGACAAGAAATAGGTTGAAATATTTTTTAACTGCTAACCTCTTGACCATACCAATCAATCAATCAATCATCAATCAATACTTTATTCACCCACGTAGCGCCAGGGAGCTCGTAGAGCTCGTTCAAAATACGTACGTGCCTCTAAGATTAAGAATCTGGTATGCAGTAATCCAAGTCATTTGTATAAGTGTTAAACAGCAGCGGTCCGAGGAGCGACCCTTGAGGGACGCCCACCATACTTTTGAGTAGCTAGAACAAACGCCGGACAACTTAACTCAATGTCTTCGCCCCAAAAAATAGGAAAAAATCAAGTTTAATGCTGACGGAGAGAAGCCATACGCTTTTAATTTAGCCAATAGGAGGTTATGGTTAACAGAATCGAATGCTTTGGACAGGTCCACTGCCACGGCTATAACTGCCTCCCTGTTGTCAAGGCTTCGCCTCCACTCCTCAGTCATCTTCAAGAGTGCGGTGCAACAAGATTGTTTCTTCAAGAACCTAGATAGATTCGGAGAAAGATGATCATGGAAAGCGCCGCACAGTTGGTCAAACATATCCTTCTCGAACTCTTCACAAATGGCGGTAAGAATCGAAACAGGACGATAATTTTCTTTGCGTGTAACCTCGTCCTTTTTAAATACCGGTATCAAGTTCCCTCTCTTCCATTCGGTTGGCCATGATTGGTTCATACTCAGATAGTTAATCAGCTGTGTTATCTCCTCCACTAGGATGGGAGCAGCGAGCCTTAAGAGACGCGGTGAAGTTCCATCTACGCCAACAGTCTTCCGGGGATTTAGATTGTCTAAGATCTCGATTCACGTACATAGCTGCAACTCACAGGCTGCAAGACAAACTGATCTAGCAGCATTTTGCCAGCGATTAGTTTTACACCTGGATGATCGTTGAAATCGTTTTCACGGTGATTTGTTGGAACTACATTGGCGAAATAGCTATTAAATATTTCCGGTATCAAAACGTTCCGAAAACAAAGGGAAAACTTGCAAGCCGGACCATGACCTCGATGGAATTTATCTGTAGAGAAGTATGACAAAAAGCGTCTTCGTATCTACCCCCTTCGTATCTAGACCACGCAAAATTGTTCCCCTTACCTTTTTCGCTTAAAATATATGAGAATACTGGTCTTGTCCACTTTCGCTTAAAATAATGAAACTACTCTTCTTGCCCCGGCCGGACCAACACTCATGGTCTTAAAATAACTTAGGAGAATGTGCTACCTTTCTATAATATCCAAAAATGGATAGACATACTAGTCTTCTCAGACAAGGACGAATAAACCGTAGGTCCCGTCTCCCGCATCTATTAATTATATAATTTGATTAGGCAGGGGACGTTAAAGAACCTACGTCACGAGATTACTGTGGTGTGGTTTGGCCCGTTTACTGAGAATTGGGGGGAGGGGGTATCTGTTAAATATTCGCCTTTGTTGATTGTAAACTGCCACTGGCAGTCTGGAAAGTCCCCCGCACAGTGTTGTAAAGCGCCTTGAACATAGGATAAGAGCGCTATAGAAATAAAAGTTATTATTATTATTATAATTATTATTATTGTCATACCTTCCGTCTTCTTAATTTCAATTTCATTGTCATCCTCATTCAAATAAATGAGATTCAAACTTAAGAGAACATTTTCGATCATTTTGATCCTTGTTTTTTCTATGTGGATGACCGGTTGTTTGTCCATTTGAAGTTTTTTTTAAATATTTTGGCTTTGAAAATCTCGATTTTCAGTTTTTACATTTCTGAATCTTCGGAATAGATGGCGTTGGTTCCACTGTCGGTCGGTTTCTGATCTTGCACATATCCAGTTCTAGAGGGAATTGACGTCGGAGTTCTGACATGTACCTGCCACATGTTACTGCTAGACGCTGTTGTAGCTTTATCACGGATCAAGCTCAGAGTGTCTCCTTCAGGAAACGTTGTCGCGGTTAGATGGAGTGCTAAAATCGTTCTTTTGAGAATATCTGCTAAAAGTTTAGGAGGTGACAGCTAAACAATGCTCTCCCCCTATCACCAACAGGTTGTTGCCAGTTTTCTTTAATCTCATCAACGCATTCATCTTTGATTTTAAAAGGAAAACATATTTTGTTGTCGAGGTACAATGCAGACGGTGTGTTGTTGAAATGTTCATAGAAGTGAAATATAAAACGGTTGATGCCGCGCAATGGACTCGATGACGCCACGGTGCACCCTGAGAAAGTGAAATTTATGAAGAGGTGACAAGAGTAACAAGATTAACATTAATTTCCAATAAAATGGAAACAACTTTGAAGAAGCTTAAACGAGTTGATAACATACTTAGCGAAATAACGTTTTGATATTCTTTCACAAAAACAATCAGCGACTTGTAACGCTTATCGTATGGCCAGTTGTGTTCCTTTGTTCTTAATCCCTTCGATTTCTCGGAAATCGAAAAAACTCGTTTCCTAAAGGTTCCGCGCGTCATGTTCATGCCGCATTGGCATACTCACTCAGCCGGGGGTCAGCAATTTCCTGTACCGTTATGATTGCTTTAACAATGGCTTTGTTTACAACAAATGAATGCTCAGGTAGTGTATTCCCTGAAGATGTTGCAACCTTGACATTATCAAATTTTCAGTTTGAGAAGAAAATCCAGGGGAAACAGTTAATACAGGGTTATAGTTACTAAACAAAATAAATGCGTTTTTAATCTTGCGAAGTCTCAACCAGTGAGGCGTGTCATACGCATAATCGCGTGGGGCTGGGCACGTTTTTCTTTCAAATTTCGTAAAAGGAACCTCGTTTAATTCCCTTTGAATTATGTCAAATATCAGTGATAGCTTAGTCAATTTTGTTTCAAAACATCGTCAAAATTCTATATTTGCAAAAATCCGAAAAACGTGAAATCTCTGCAACCTCTCCTAGCTATTAAAAGTTTTGGCTGAATTAAAGAAATGATGTTCTTCACAAACTCCACACCTTGCTAAAAGTATCTAACGAGAGGATCAAAGAAATTAATACTAATCAAAATGATTACTTTGACGTGTTGTCGCCTTCTATGCACTACTAGATAATCTGCAATTCAAGACGACAGCACCGATTCATGACGGATGCACTCGTGTAGAGAGTTAAGCGAGGTGTTGTCTTTAGGAGACTAGAACTTGAGGGAACTTAACTTTGTTAATAAAATAGGCATAATCCGTCAGAAGACTAAGTTTTCACGGGTTGTGGGTCCCTCCTTCATGCAAAAGTAAAAAGCTTGACAGCCGTCCGCTTTATTTGCATATTTTCTTGAATCTTCACAGCAGTGGGGGCTACACGCTCAACTGAGCAGGCTTGATATTGATAGCACGTTACTGATTCAATTCGTTTGATTATGCTTTGTTTTGTTTGATTTTTATTTTCTACTGAAGAGTATCTAAACAATAGTTGTGACACTCACATTATTGTCACGGATTGCAGCAGTTTTTTTGTTGGTCTGTTTGATTTTTCTTGCCCAAGTGGAACCAAAGTCCCATTCCGTGCACTATTCACAAAACATTTTTGTGATTCCTACATGTGGAAGCTTCAAATACTGATTTGGATTTTCACTTATTGAAAATTTATCAAAACTTTTTGATAAGGCTAGAACTTTCCTCGAAAGTGATCACAGGAACTTATGGGAAAGCAGAGATGATTCGCGTCGAAATCCTACTGAATGCTGAGAGCATGGCTGAGTCAACAGCCGCTTCGAAAATATGGCTACCCGTGCATTGTCCAATGCGGTAAGACAACAAGGCACACTTCAGTAGATAAGAACAATGGCTGTTTGTAATCAATTACTTGAAAATCAACTTAGAAATTCAATAAGTAATTGGTTTTCACTTGCACGCCAACTATTTTGCTTGCGAAATCAATCATACACAGCTTCATTACATTACTCGAAAGTTTCCAAATTAGGGCGATTTATAGATTGTAAGGCGATTTATGTTTAGACTTGGTACAACTTAGTGAGATAATCTACCAAAGTTTCGAATGCAAAATGACATCCTGGATTTTGGCTCTCCTCTTCCTCACTTGTGTACCAAAGAGCATGGCACAGGGCGGAAGCAAAGGTACTCGAGCCAAATAGCAAGTGAATGCCAAGCGCAAGCATCTACAACTGATCTAAATTGATATAAGTCTGGGCCTAAATTCCTAATTATATATTTCTCGAAAATAATTTCAGAACCTGGTGTGGCTGTTACCTGCGGTGCTCATCAGATGGAAATCACATTTGAGAAGAGAATATTCTCTGCACTAGACGCGGGGAATATGTCCTTGGATGCCCCTGCGTGTTCAGCCTCTGACAGCCTACAGTTCATTTCCATTAGCACTGCCCTAAATGGATGCGGAACAAAACTCCAAGAAACTGAAGACACTATTGTGTTCTCCAATGTTGTTCATCAAGATGCCGAGTTAGTGGACGGCCAGATTACTCGTGAACATGACTTTGAATTCCCGTTTAATTGCAGCTATTCCAAAACGAAGTTTCTCAGCCTAAACTTTGTCCCCGAGGGAAGGGTTGATGTACCCGGTGTAGGTATGTAAATGTATCGCCAATCAACAGTTCATCACTAATTCTGCTGAATGCTGTCAGTGGGTTAAATCAGTACTTGTAGTATTTCACGGTCGAATCCTGATGATCAATTTGACTCCGCTAGTAATCATTAAGCATCCTAGGTAGGTAGCAGACTTTACCTTGATAGCTTTTTACATGTTGGAGCTTCGTTGCCCGTGGTAAAAAGGCGAGAATGCATTAATTGCATATGACTTGACAAACAGATACTGTCACAAAAGTATTATCTGTTGCAAATAAAGGTAACTTTGAGTAATCTAATGCAAATATTACTCTGTTTGATGATAAACTGTTATTCCAGGGGAATCTGGTGACTTCAACTTCACATTTGATGTCTTCGCAAGCTCTTCTTATTTAACGCCCTACTCCGCTTTCCCTGTCGAGGTGACGCTCAATGAGTATATCTACCTAGAGTACAAGGTGGAGTCCAGTGCTGACCTGGGGGTGATGGCTCTTAGCTGTTTGGCTACAAAAACTCCAGATTATTATTCGTGGCCGCAATATCACATTATAAAAGATGGGTACGTGTGATGTTAATTAAGGTGTTAATAACTTACCAGTTTTTATTTTGAAAAATTTAGTCTTACCAGTTCTTCGAACGTCATCCTTGTTCCTTCCTCAGTGGACCTCAATTTCTTCTTTTGGTAGTTTCATATAAAAGTATTAACTTCTTATCATGATATGACCAAAACAGGATATTTCGTCATTTGGCTAACACATTTTTGTTTTTCGCATCAAAAGGTGTGCAATGGACACGACTCTAAGTCACGACTACGACCCAAGCAGAAATAGGCAAACATTTAAACTGAGAGCATTCAGGTTCTTTAATGAATATGAGTCATTTTATATCCACTGCGAGCTGTTAGCCTGTCTTAAAGGGTCTAACTCTTCCAGGTGAGTTCATCTGCGGTAGCTTGCGATTGATTATGAACACGAAAATTACGTATTTCAAAGCCAACGTCCACCAGACTAAACTTTTCATGTTTTGGAACAGAAGGATAATATTTTTTTTAAAAAACAAGTGAAAGTTTGATGAAATATGCTAGCTAATAACACCAGTACTAACTTTCAGTGATAACATTGCAATAGACTAAATCACTCGTAACTTGCATTTGATGACTTGAAGGTGCCAACAGGGATGCGTACCGCCAGCTACTAGGAAGAAACGTGAACTGGAAGAGGACACAACCAGTCCGTACATCATCAAAAGAGGGCCAATCAAAATTGTCCAAGAGAAAAGCCAAAACGAAGAAGGAGGTAGATCATTATCATGCGCAAATTTTAATACAACTAAAACAACTAGAGTGTGTATTATGACGAGAGTAAAGGGAAAAGTTCTCCACGTTACTGAAGTAAAAGGCAGTCCTAAACCGAAGAATGACACCTAACGAGATACTTAAAAATTCGGTGAGAATGAAATTTTAACAACATTATTTTCCGGAGGTACCCGTAAAGTAAATCATACATAAGAGTGGTTTTAAAATACTAATAAGATGGCAGGGTTCTAAAAAGATGACAAAAGACTGTATAATAGAATCTACGAATACGTATCACCATCATTGGTTAGCAATAAAAAATGTAAAAAGTCATCGATCATTGTCACAGCCTGTGGACGTGAGATCTTAAACGAGTACAAATCAAGTTCGTATAAAACCATCATTTTTCTTGTGTGTGTGTGCTTTTACAGACAAAGGAAAGCAGTCAGCAGCTGTAATAGGAGGTGCAACTGCCGCTGGTGGAGTTGGTCTGGTTGCAGTCATAGGTTTAGCTGTTGTTTTCGTCAAATATCGCATTCTACGGCTCATGAAGAACAAGAACAAGGTCAGAGACATGTACACCGGCACCACCCAGGATCAGCAAATGAATAGTGGAAATGCCCACATCCAAGACGGTGAAACGGTGGAAGCGAATGCTGAGAGTGAAAACGCTTAGTTTAAAACGTGGACACTTAAGTTAAAAGCCCATAAAATATTTCTGACCGTAAATCATTTCCAAGTTTGACTTGTGACAACACTAACAATAATTAAGGTTAAGTATGCAGGTTCGTTCTTTTTGTCGGCTTTACCTAAGTAAGTAATGAAATGGCTGTCATCGAATTATATTGACGTTGTTTCCCAAGGGCATTTGTAAACGTTCAGCATTTATTCGAGACCAGATTGTTTTAGCAACCAACTTTTATCT